CCTGTGGACAGAGGACTATTTCTCAATATGCTAATCTTGAACTGCCTTGTGCAAAGTAGCTCTTTCATCCACAACTCCTTCCTTAAAATCAATGGCAGCAAATACAAACATTTTCAAAAGTGCTCAAGATGAGATTTTCAAGGGCACATTGCTCTAAACTGAGTTTAGTGTCTCAAAAAACAAGACAGAATGAGGGCTAAATCTTCAGAATTGCGGAGGAGCTGCTGTTGGACAGGTTAGCTTGTCAGAATAACTACTACAGTCTCCAAAGGTGAATGTTCCTTCCCACAATGAGACATTATTCTCCTTCTATATTTCAGGCCCAGCAATGTATAACTTAAATAGAAGCAACTGTATGACAGAAAGAAAGGGGAATGTATAAAGTACCTATGCAAAATAAAGAAGAAGAATGGCTGATTGAACTGCCTTCAGTTTCATTTGAGAGAGAGAGTACTTGTCTGTTGACAGTTACTAAATAAACAGAAAACCTGTTCATCTGCAGAAATCCCCTGAGCTGGAAGAGTCTGGAGGCCAAAGGAGTGCTGGGGCACCATAGATAAACTTGCCCTGTTCTTTCTCTTCCCTGGCTACTGACTTCTTCCCTTGCTGGACACTAAATCTTGGGTTAATCCTGCATCAGAATCAGTACAGATGCCTGTAAATTCTAACACTGCATCTGCTAAAGAGAGTGAAAGATCTTCCCAGAGAATTAATGTATATCCTTTTAGGTTGCAAATGGTATAGAAACAAATCCATCGCTCTGCTTCTTCTACACCATTCATCTTGGGCTACACTGAAATACCATCTTCTCCCTTAGCATTCCTTGTAGTAGCAAGCAAGTTGGGTGAATTCAAACTGCTTTGCAGTGTGGACTAAGCAAGTATAGAAACAAGAGTTAAAGGTAGTGACAGTTGTCTCTGTTCTAGCAAAAAAATGCCTGTACTACATTGGACCAGAACAGTCATTGCATGAGGCTCCTTATAGTGGGAACGTCCAACCAAAAATCAAAATTTCACACGAGTAGTTGCTTTGGCAACAGCCTGCTAGCAAGCTGTCATCCAGCAAGCTGCCAGGGTAAGTCTTCCTACCAAGTGGGGAGGTGTTGGCAGCTCAAACCCACAGGAGCAGAAGTAATGGGCCAGGTCTGCAGTACAAGGCTGACGCTATGGCTGCCCAATGCAGCACTGCTCACTGAATGTGTGTGTATCTGTTCTGTTTGGGATGCAGCTCAAGTGGATGCCTCTGAACAGCTTTTTGGCAGAAATCTTACAATGGTTTGCCCAGCTTTATCATTTGCTAGTTCCTGTATCAGTTCATCCTTGATACGGAGCCTTTTATGTCAATTCAATAAAGCTATTTCTAGCTTTCATCAGTTTGAGCCTTTTATGCCAGCTGCTAGTTGTCCAAAAGTTGTTTTCTTACTAGAAAATTGTAATTACTATATTTACCCTTCAATTTGAGATATTAGTTCATTTGGACCTGGCTTTTATTTTTGACCAATAGATCCTATAACAGTCATCAAAAGCTTTTGTTCCATCTGATCAAAGTGGAAAAATAAAATGTAGAGAATCACCTCCATTTTCCTTAGCATCCCTCTGCTTTTTGAGAAGAAGAGCCCTATTCCTTTTCTGTTTTCTCTTCTCCACCCTCTCAAGCCTCATCTACTATTAAATCATATAGTTTGGGTTGCCATTATCTTCTTGGTATAAGCAAAGCCCTAATTACACTGCATTTCTGTATTAAAAGTACTGGGCAGCAGTGCCCTATCCAGCCCTGCCATTTCTGGAATAAAACAGCTGCTTGAATAAAGCTGCCCTTTGTTTTCCTTGTTGACCTCTTGCAGGTTTTTCCACTCTGTCTTCACTTTTTTCCTCCCCCTTCTGGTTTCATTAAAAGAGAAGCTTTCATCTTTTGTTTCGGGAGGTGTGTGCTCCCATGTGCACATGGCCATGATGGTCCTTTTGTGCTGCTTTCATGTCAAACTCAACAAAAGTGGAAAACTTGCAGGGAACAAGGCGTGAGATCTCTAAGCCCCGTCCAACCCTGTGACATTGTCCTGCCCGTTACACCGGGGTTGTAATGTCAGACTGCAAGCAAAAACATTCTGGAAGTGCACACAGATACAGCTTTTTCAGATAATGACCATACTTCCATCCCTTCTACTCATTTTGGGGCTTATCAATTAAGCAATTAATAAATAGCCAGGTAACAAGTAATTAAAAAAAAAAGAAAAGAAAAATTACTGTTCTAGTAAGACTGGAATCAACAATGGGAAAATATAGGGGGATTCTAGGAAAGCCTGTCAAGTTTAATTCATAAAAATACTTTTAAGTTTATAATTGAACTATCAGAAGGCTGTTCTGAAATATCTTGCTGGCAGGCACGTTCCCCAACATAATGTGTTGTGCCAGGATGTTTTAGTAGCCTCTTCTTAAAGACCTGTCATGAAATATCATTGAGTTATGATTATTTAAGACTATTATATGTGATCGCTTATCTTATACAGTTTCAGAGTGTTCCTAAGTTTTGTTAAAGTCAAATTCTGAAATGCTTCTTGGTAGGAATTTTCCATAGTAGTGGTAAGATGAGAAGAAAATACTTCTGCACAGGTGCAGTCTGATACACCATTCAAATAAGACCCACAGAGGCGTGATGTCACAAGAAGCCTGTTCATCCTTTATTTTTCATTAATACTTTTATCTGTTCCCTATTTAAAGGCAACACAGCCTCAGGGGATCACAACGGTCAGGTCAGCTCTCCCTGCAGCTTTCCCCATTCCCAGACATGAAAATCTATTGCTCAAGTGAACTGGAGGTAAACCTCTTAAAGATGAGGAGGTGATTGCAGTGTCTGGGAGCACTGCCATCAGTAGGATCCTGAGATCATGGCAGGAGAAAGCTGTGGGGAGCAGCAGCTGGGGCAGGGCTGATGTGTGGAAGGGCTACCAGTGCTTGATCCTTCTCTCACTGATGGCACTTGCTGCTGGCCTGCAGCTCCTCCTAAGCATTGAGGAGATGTGTTATGCCATTGTGCAAGCAGCAGGAAAGACTAGGCAGAACAGATGAGAGGAGGATGGTGGAGCAAACCCCAGGGGAAACACAGCTGGCATGAAATGTGGGGCTGTTCTGAGCCCAAGAATTATCTTTTGAAAAAACCTACTCACAAGAATAAATGGGAGCAGGAGAGCTGCCAGTTAATAAAAAATGGCTCACAGAAGGAAATATTGGGGCTGAGTATCAGAAGCAACCTGATGGGAGGAGTCACAGTGCAATGCGGCATTGCCCAATTTCATGTACAAGATGTTCTCTGTGCCAAAGGTGGGGCTTTCACATTGCTCTGCCGTGCCACGCTCACCTGCCCAGGGCATCGCTAGGTGTGCTTTTGCCACTGTGCCCTCACCATTCCCCTGTGAACGGAGGCAAGATGAGAGGGGAGCAGATGTCAGGCTGATCCTGCGGAGTTCCCTTGGGCTGCACAGCTCACCCCTCTGCCTGTGCCAGTGCAATGGTTCCCGTGGTGACGTGGCACACCGCATCAGGAAGCTGAGCCTGGTTAAACACAAGGCCTTGCTCCTCCCCTTCGGTCCGTCCTGGCCAGTGAGGGCTGGGGGAGCCAGACAGGGCTGGCAGCAGCGGTTCTCCCAGTAGGTGCAGGTTGCAGGTGCCTGTGGTGTGTGGCTCACCTGCCATTGCTCTGGGCTCGTCAAAGCTGAGCCAGCTCCAGTTTGGAAACTTGGATGTCATACTCTCATAGCACCTGAGATGAAAAGCCCTGCTTACCCTGTACAGCTGGCATGATCCAAGGAATAGCAGCAGTGCCTTTACAAACGTACTTTTCAACTTTAGCTGTTATCTTGCTTAGACCAACGTTTCTATGGATCGAGCAGACTGTAGCAAAAAGCTGTTTAAATAATCAGACTAATGTTGCTCTAAAGAAGATATTGGTACGTGTTAGCATGTGGGAGTGAAGCCAAACAGAAAAAAAAAAAAAAAAAAAGAAATAAAAAGCCACAGTTCTCAGAAATCAGCAAGTATGCCACCCTCAGTGCTAGAGAAGACAATCTCCAGTGCCCGGCAGTCTGACAACTGCTATCGCACCCGTCAGTCATTTGCGGGCAGTTCTCTGAGCAACCAGGAAAATCAGCGTGTCCCCTCCGGACAGCACCGGGGGAGACTCATGTGCTGCAGAGTTTCTCGAATGTGTTCTGTCTCCATTAACATTTTGCCAGCCCGGGTCCTCATCTCAGCTGACAATGCTAATTAACCATTGCCTTGCCAAGGATGCCCCCTAGTCACGACCCAGCCTACAGTGTCTCAGGGGCAGGGACTGCTCTTGTGCATGCTGGTCCCTGGAGGTGCTCCATAAGGAGGGACTTGCTGAGTACCCTGGCCTCTGCCCACATGCTCCTCTCCGGGATCATGTTCCCGATCCAGGGTGGAGGCAGACGTGTGCCTCTAGTTGGTCTGAACCGGCTTTCCCTATCACAGTGCAGCGAGTGTCCTGCTCACCAGGCACCCAGCTGTCATTTCAACAGCCAGTAATATTCTGGAGATGAAGCATAAGTTTTAAAGCTTGCTGCTTTCCAGAATGATATGGCGTTAAATAACTTTCTGTGAGGGTAATTGCTGCTGCTTTAGGTCAAAAAGCAATTGGCTTTTGGAAGGTTGTTATTCATACTCTGGTTACAAAAGCAAATAGTGGGCAATTCTCACCTACAATGAGCTTACACGTCCCTAAGTGTCACAGGCGGGGAGAAACAATGAAGCTCACTGAGTTTTCAAGCTAGGGAAGGGTAGTTGGTCACAAACAGCTGCCCTATCCCAGCCCTCCCTATGTTAAACCACTCCGTTGCATTTTTTTTTCCTCTCACGGGCAAATCATTTACTGCAATTTAATGATCGCAACCACATGAAATTCACTTCCTTGTGGTAAAAAAAAAAAAAAGGAAGAAAAAAAGAAAAAAGAAAAGTAGGATTAAATGTCTCAGTTTATCTTTCCACACAGATCACATGGCCAGAGCTGGTTGTAAAATGTTGAAAAACTAGTTTAAGGTGTAACCAGTGCCAAGTGCTGTACATTTCCGTATTCTCCCTCCCTTCCTATCGCTCACAAAGATGTCACAGAAAGACAAGGAAGTTTGTTTACTCAAGGAGTGGATTTTTTTTTTAATTTAAATTTAAAATACCATTTATTACTCTTAAATTTAATCCTTTTAGACCTTGGTGGTGTTTTGGTCCCAACTCCAAAAGGAGCAGACTGAGAAAAACTTGTATGAAAGCCAAAATGTGTAACACAGTCGCTTAATCAGAGTGTCTCGAAACCTCACGCATGCTGCAAGGAGGAAGTCCAGGTCTCAGTCACCCTGGTGAAATTAAGAAATGCTAGGTGAGCTCAGCAGGAGATCCTCGAGCAGCACCCAGGCTTTTTTGAAAATAGGAACAGAGCTCCCCGTGTTTTTGTGGTATCTGTTCCCCTTGGAGCCAGGTAGTGGGCTCAGGAAAAGGCAAGGTGGATGAACCTGGTGAAAACCTGCCTGCCAGAGATGCTGAGGAGGTTGATGGTTTGAATCAGCATGTGTGCATTTGGGTCCTGAGTAAGGGTGATGGGTATAAAGGAGTTTGGGACTTGAGAGAATACAGTGCCAAACAGGAGCTGATTTTTCTTCCCAACTACAAATTAGAGCAGATTTCCATGATTTCTTTTTCCATGAGCAGTAGCTCATGTTGGCTGTGCTGGAAGCAGCTCCTGGGGTTTCACTGTTCCAGTGCTCTGCCAAGCTCTCAGCAGCTGTACAGTTGCTACTTGGGTGCCAGCATTTCAGCTGCTGATCAGGATTGTGACCCTCTGTGTCCTGCATGAAGGTTGGTGAGCCAAGGGATCTGTCTACCTGGAGTGAAGCCAAGCTTTAAGGGAATATTTAGCTTATCCATGTGGCCAGAAAGCCCTCCTGCATGGGACAGCAGCCGAAAAGTCAAAGACTCGAGAGACTCAGGATGTCCTGTGTACAGCCAGTGCATGCATAATAAGTTTAATAAGTAACCCCTTGCTATTGCATGCCCTGTTGAGTGCCTGTAAGACACCTTGGTCCATATCCTACAGATTTGTTACAGGACTGAGAATTGCTTGAGGTAGTTATTACTTCAGAGTTTTGGAACAAACTAGCCTGCTCTAAGGGAAGGTTAGTTTGCCTCTGACTAATTTAAATGCATATTTCTCTCTGCTAGTTAGCTTGAGGTCACTCCTGTGGCTTGTGTAGGCTGTTTGCAGGGATTTATTTCAACTTCATGAAGATATTCTGGCTTACCTGTGGCTTCCTGCTTCCCACCAGTGCATGGATTGCTGGCAGCGGCTGAGCTAAGGCTGAACTTCTGTGACATTGCAAAAACACACAAGGATGGGCTCAAAGTGCAACCTATCTAGAAAAAATTACACGAGTGTGTTTGGAAAGAGGGAAAAAAAACTTGAACAAAAGCATATCTCGCTTCAAAGTAAAAGTACAATGGTGTCAGCCAGAACATGGAAAGTGACCCAGCTTCCTTCAGTGTGGCAACCACCTGCATGCAGAAGAGCAGGAACAATCAGGATGGGCACCAGACCACAACCCAAGTTTGTTATTTTGTCTCTTCAATGCCCTGGGGAAAGACAGCTGTGGGGAGTCCTGGGCAGATAGAGGTGAAGCCCTGGGGCCCAGCATGGGGCAGAACATAAACTGGCGCAGCCTATATAGATGAAGACGTCTGTCGCTATGCTGGGAAGACACCCAGCACATCTGAACACTTTTCCCCTATGAAGTTTTCTAATACAGACACAGTCCTTGACTGCTCACCTCCCACATGTGTGATCTGCAGTTTTGCCTGAGCGAGAAATGTGAGACAGAGCTTCTGTCTTCTTTGATTAGGAAACAAGTGAACTCCAGTCCTGGTCTTCTGTCTGGAGAAAAAAAATATCTGATGTAATTCATAAGCTTGTCAGGAAATACTTCATGTGGAAATACTTCTACAGTACCAAATTTCTAAAACTTTCCATAGTCTCTTTCCTCTTTGGTAACTTGAACAATCACAATTGCATGGCACAGCCTGCCTTTGTGCCAAGAGGGAAGGACTTGGTGCCACAAAACTGCCTTTTTTTATTCCCTAGCTTGCTGCTTCTCCCTGCAACACCCTTCCAACCATTTTGCTGACAGGCAGGACTTGGCCCTAAAACTCAGTCAAGTATGATTTAGCATTTAATTGACACACTGGAGCATAAACCCTGACTTTTGCTGGCTTTTAGATGCACCGCAGAGGTATTTTCTCTTGTTATGAGGTAGGTCTGAAGTTTATTTATTTTACAGGTCAGCATGATGGTCCAGTTTTGTGGCTGATTGGCACACAGTAGGTACTCAGGACCCTTCCAGACTGGACATGTTAGGGGTGTAACATCAGCCACAGAGAAGGAGATGAGGTTCAGCATATACCTTTTTGGATGTATCAAAAGTGCATTTTGCATATACTTTGAGCTCTAATGTTTATATCAATGAGATGTTCCTATTTCAGAGTGGTGCTAATGCACTTGAATTTCTTGTTAATCTGTTCATATAGCAGTTGTATCACAGTTGGTGTTAATGGGTGGTGTTTCCTGAACCAAGTCAAAGATGGTTTTTAGCAGTTTAGGACAATACCAGCCAGGGAAGTGCACGCCTGCTCTTCAAGATCGTCGAGAAAGACATTCAAAAAGGGAATGGGATCACCTTGGCAGCATTTTGAGTTGTCACAGTGCCTAAGGCCTCAGCAGAGCTCTTGACATTCCCAAGGCAGCAAGGTCATCTTGAAAGAACAATTGCATTTCTCTGGTCTTGTGTACGTTAATATCTTGAGAATGTCTTGTATATTTCGACCTTACAATGAATTAATCATTAATGAAAATTTTAGAAAACTGAAGTCAGAAATCAGCAGTCTAGGAAAATAAAGAAATTATCTTGTGAAGTGTATGTTTAAAAAAACCCGTGTAGATTAATTTTAATCTGGGGTAGCTTGGATAAAGAGAAAAGGAAAGGGCCAGAAACACATTGCAGTGTGGCACAGTTCTTCATCTCACTTGGAAAACACTGCTTTTTGTGAAGGGCTTGCCTCATGTTTGAACACCTCTAAAGGGCCATGGTTTGCTGGGGATTTCTTTCTCATCCAAATGAATAACAGAATCGTTAAGGTTGGAAAAGATGTCCAAGATCATTGAATCCCACTGCTAACCTAGCACTGCTACGTTCACTGATAAACCATGTCCCAGGTGGCACATCCACATGCTTTTTTAACACTTCCAGGGAATGGTGATTCCACCACTTCCCTGTGCAGCCTGTGCCAATGCTTGACCACACCTTCAGTGAAGGAATTTTTCCTAATAACCAATTTAAATCCCCTCTGGCACAACTTGAGGCCATTTCTTTTTGTCCTGTTGCTTGTTACCTGGGAGAAGAGACCGACCCCCACCTTGCTACAACTTCCTTTCAGGTAATTGTAGAGAGCAATGAGGTCTCCCATGAGCCTCCTTTTCTCCAGGCTAAATAACCCCAGCTCCCTCAGCTGCTTCTCATAAGATTTGTGCTCCAGACCCTTCACCAGCTCTGTTACCCTTCTCTGGACTTGGTCCAGTGCCTCATTGACTTTTCTGTACTGAAGGGCCCAAAACTGAGCACAGGATTTGAGGTGTGGCCTCACCAGTGCCAAGTATAGTGGGAGGATGATCACTGCCCTGGTCCTGCTGGCCACCCTATTTCTGATACAGACCATTGGCCTTTTTGACCACCTGGGCACACTAGTGGCTCATGTTCAGCTGCTGTTGACCAGCACCCCCAGGTCCTTTTCTGCTGGTCTGCATTCCAGCCACTCTGCCCCCAGACTGTAGCACTGCCTGGGGTTGTTGTGACCCAGGTTAAGGACTCAGCAATTCACCATGTTGAACCTCGTACTGTTGACCTTGGGCCATTGATCCAGCCTGTCCAGATCTCTCTGCAGAGTCTTCCTACTCTCCAGCAGATCAACACTCCTCCCTAACTTGGTGTCATCTGCAAACTGACTGAGGGTGAACTCAATCCCCTCATTCAGGTCATCAACAAAGATATTAAACAGGACTGGACCCAACATGGAGCGTTGGGGAACACCACTTGTGACCAGCTGCCAGGAAGATGTAACTCCGTTCACCACCATTCTTTGTGCCTGACCATCCAGCCAGTTTTTTACACAGTGAAGAGTACGCCTCTTCATGTCATGGGAAGCTAGTTTCTCCAGAAGAATGTTGTGGAAGACAGTGTCAAAGGCTTTACTAAAATCAAGGCAGACAACATCCACAGCCTTTCCCTCATACACTAAGTGTATGTACACTAAGGTCACCCCTGTTAGTTTCCTGGTTTCTCCTTCTGCCCTGTATTGTACATGGATGTCAGATTTGATACCTTCCTGGCAAGTGGGACCTCTCTGGTTAGCAGGGCTTCTGGAAAATGACATAAAGTCATTTACCTCTGCTGCCTCACACTGCTCTTCTCTCCAGAGTTGGTATTTGCAGCAAATTTTCTTGAGGTGGACTTACACCAAGGATACAGCCAGGGATTCTGGAGAGCTGCAAATACTGCCAAGAGGCACAGCTTAGTTTTCTGTACATTTGAAGCAAGAAGCATGTTGAGATGAAAATGATGTGCCAGTCCCCAGTGCTCCTGCCCTGCAGTGAGGACATGCAACAGAGTTACAGGTGTTTGTGCACTGGGTGGATGGAGAGCACAGAGGGATACCAGCTTCAGCTCCATCCACATCCAGGCATTGACTCTAAACTGGATGCAAAAAGAGATTTAGGCTGTTCAGAAGCTGCTGGAAGAATGGGGAGATACCCAGTATGCATGGTGGGGAGGTCACTGTCCTCTGCAGGTGGTGGGGTGGCGGAGCCAATGGGACAGTTCATCTCTCCTCCCTGCAGGAGCTCATGGGGATCCCGACTGCAGTGTCCTGCTCACCTCCTGCCCCAAACACCCTCTTCCCAGCTCAGAGAAGAGCACAGCCTTGGCAGAATGGGATGTTGCAATGAAATAACAGTCTCTGTTTTTAAAGAATGCTTTATTCACTACATCCTAGAAATGTACCGTAAATGGAGCAAGAACTAGATAAACTCAGAGGCTTCTGACAATACAGAGAAAAGAGATACAATAAAATATCTAAAATATCAGCTCTTTTGAGAATAAGGCACACTGGCTTTGTTTTATATATATATATTTTTTTCCTTAGAATAGTTTGTTCTTAACCTAGAGATGTTCACATTTCAAGTTATGAGACTTACCTCAGTAGTAGTGTACATGAAATGGTTTAGAAGAAAGTGTAAAAGACAGGCATGGGCGGGAGGCTCAGCATGATCTGGCTGCCTGCATTCCCCAGGTCCTGCCTCCATCCCTGGGTACTCCCTGCTCCTGCCCTGACTAAGGCAGCACCCAGTGGTGGCCTGGGGCACATCAGGGTTTGCCCTTATTGGCTCCTTTCTCTTCCTGCCACCTCTGTGAGCAGCAGGACTCTTGTCCTGCTGGCAGAGAGGATTACTGGGAAGGAAGCCATCACCTCTCCTCCCTCCTCTGTGAGTCAGCCATGGCATGGGGCTGTAAGTAGGCCAGCAGGGTCCCAAAGTACTAGACTGCCTTTTCTTGCCCCCAGGGTGTTTGCGCATGGCCTAAGGACCCATGGCTGAGCCGTGGAAAGCCTTACCTGGAGGACTGGAGGATACGGTGCTGGCCTCCTCCTGGGGGCTTTTCCCTCCTGCTCCCCAGGCTTTGCCCATATCTCCTCCTCTTCCCCTACACAGGGGCAGGGCCTGGGGGCTGAGGTCTGGATGTGCTTTCAGATGGGCAGGTACAGACAATAAAAAGTATCCCGGGAAGGGGTGTGGAGGGGCAGAGTCCGACCTAATGGTTAACCTCACAGTGCTTTTGGTAACGGGTCGACAGGGTCAAGGGGAGCTCAGCTTGTCTGAGCAAGAGCACCTAAAATACAACTGCTCAATTTTGAGGCAAGCAGAAGAAGCGTATTAAAAAGGTCACTTAACTGAGCTGGATGCAGTCTGAGAGTGATTCAGTTTTCAAAATATACTCAATGCGAAACCCCTTTGGTAGGTACTCATACCACAAAAAGTAAAGGAACATTGTTTACTGACTCCCTGCTATGCACCTTGTGTCACCAGAGCTGTGTTTGCAGAGCTGATGCACTTCATACAAAGGGCAAGATATTTCTTTACCATTTTACTATGTTTTACATTCACTGCACTACTAAATAAAAGCCTTTAAACAGGCCACAAAACACTGCAATAATATATTTACTTCTTAATAAAACAAACTTTTTTATAATATCGCAATAAAAGGTTTTTGTTTTGTGGCAAACCACATACTATGTAGATTTGCAACATAAAATGACTTTAAAAATGTATATTAAAAGATATTTACAAGCTCTATGTCTTAAAATCATTGGGTCTAATCACTCCCGCCCTGATGTGCATGTACAACTCCAGTTGCGGAGAATGGAAATTAAAAGTGGAAGGGAGGCTGGGAGGGGGCTAGCCCCTGTTTCACTAATTCCAGTATCACTACCACACCTAGTACCTTTGAAATTTCTCATGGAACATGATGGAGCAATAGGTAAGTAATGCTGCATATCGTCTCAGTGAGAGCATGGCTGCTCTTGACAGCATACATTCTTAGTCACTACAACATATACTTCAAAGAATAAAATAAAGAGCATTGAAAAAGAACTGAGGCTTTATACTGGATGAATATCTAAGTCAAGACACCTTGCGTAAAATATCAGCTACTCATTTCTGCACATATTCCAACTACAAGTAGCTTCAATAAATAGAAAATCCAGTTGTTAAGGAAAACTTGGAGCCTTTCCTTTGCTTAAGACAAGCCTGCAAATCACACTGTGAAGAGGTATGTGTGAGAAGGCTTTTTTTCATTTTCTCTTTCTCCCAAACAGTCAGTATTAGTTACTTGTGATTTCAAATAAGAAAGAGCAGATTGTATTAATGCCAGCACAAAACTGCAGAGGTCTTGCACATTTTTCAAATTGCACTTTCCAGTATAATTTTTAAATAAGATACATGTTGTTTTTTTCTTAAAAAACAAAACAAAACAAAACAAAACACTAAGGTATGTATTCCTTAAATATTGAATATATTCTTCAAAATATATTGTTAAAACTTTCCCTAGCTGCTCAGGTGTGCTTTTTAATATATAGCTGATATATTATTAAAGGCACTACAAAATAGACTTCTCTGGAGTGCAGAAATTACTAAAAAATAACCTTCATACCACAAATATATTGAAAATATAACTGTTAAAAAAAAAAAAAGACCCTATGCAATCCCACTACAATGCGTATAAATGCATGTCAGCGGTGGGCTGGATGCATTGAGGTCCTTTGGAAATGTATGAATATAGGCCTGTTAAATTTTAAAAATAGCCTAAAAAAGTTAGTGAAACCTTCAAGCATAGAAAATATTTCGAACACATTTTTCTATGGCATTCTTCACTTTCTGCATCAGTTTACCAAGCCCAAATATTTACTCTTTCGCAGACGGTTCTTTCTTCATAAATAGTAAAGTGTTCCTTCAGTGTGTGTTTCTCTGCCATCCTCCTCCGCTGGCAGTCTCAATACGTCTGGTAGATGTCATGGATGGGCACCTGGATGGTGGCAGCTGGAAAAGCTGGGGGGATGTAGCCAGCATATCCTCCATAGGCAGCAGCAGCAGCGGCAGCAGCGGCGTTCTTCTGTAGCGTGGCTATTGTTGCTGTTGCCGCAGCAGGTGCCGCGAATGGCACATAACTTGTCCCATAAATCCCGGCTGTGGGGATCCGCTGCACATTGGGAGCCATGGTGTACACTGGCGTGATGGGGCGACCCTGAAAGGAAAGGGTAAAGACCTCAAAAGAAGTGCTTAATTTGTTGTTACATCTTGCTTCCACACTCTGAATTGCAAACCCCCTAGAAGAGAAGAAGATAATGAGGGGGTAGGCAGTGCATGCCCTCTTGATTGAGAGCTATGCTATCATGGGAGGCTGTTCTCTCCCTCACAGTTTGGGTCCCCCATAGTGGGGAAAGCAGTCGCCCAATGTGCAGATGTCTAAGACAGGTCAGATGGACCGCAGGGCTGTTGGGCACCGTAACATCCTCAACAGCATCTCCTGAACAGAAGCAGGGCAAGAGACTAGTCTTCCCCCCACACTGGGTATACATAGCAGGATGTATGGGAAGTGGGATGTATGGGAAGCAGGACTTCCATGCTGAGCTCACCTGGAAGGGAGGAGGTGTTGATACCGCTGGTATTACAGCTGCAGCTGCGGCTGCTGCAGCAGCTGCTGCACTGGCTGGGTCCTGCTGGACAGCTATAGGATTGATGATGTGTTCAACAGTGTGGATTTTACCATCTTCCATCATCTTGGCTGGTGGTGCAGCCTGAAACATGGAGTACTGGGCACCAATGGCAGGGATGGCCACTAGGAGAGACCAGACATATCAGATGCATTGAGAAAGAGTTTCCATGACCTCATCTCGAAGAGCTCTCCCTCCCAGATGTGCAAACTCTCCAGCAGTGATCCTGTGCTGCCCTTACAAGGGCAGCTAGCCTCATGTGCATGCAGGAGATCTGAGGCACCTCTGTCCTACCCATGGGTGGGAGCACCATGGCTGATGCATAGTAATGGGCTTGCTGCTAATTGCTTGGTCCAGAGTTTTTCCCCATGCTCCTGGCATGGATGTTTTAGGGCCAGAGTCCTGCTGGGCACTGGAGGCTGTGACCTGGATTTACACAGCCCCTTCTGACGACCTCTTGTCCTCCCCTCGACCAAGAACGTGGCCTGAGCACAAGGATGGGTAGGAGTGTGCAGTATCCCATTGGGGTCCCCACTCCAGCTGTTGAGATCAATAGGAAGAGCAGCTTCAGGACAGAAAAATGTGGTTTGTACTCCAGAAGTTACAGGCAGCAACTGGTCTGGTTTACATACCCTCCTTTGGCCAACTCTGTGAAATATCAGCTGATTTACTATTATGCATTTCCCAGGACTAGCTTAGCTAAATATGTTTTATCCCATCTGTCTGCTACAAAATCAATCTATTTAATGAAAAAAAAAAAAAAAAGAAATTGCTCTTTGGAAGTCTCCATCATGCCAAAATTGGACAACCTGAAATAAACTGAGCCACAATCTTTCAAACAAAAGGAAAACACTCTGGTCAGATTGATAGTGTTCAGAGATGGTGAGTTTGTATGTGGTTCAAAGCAGAGCTTCATGGCATTGCTTAGGGAAGAAATGTGCTTTGCCAAGCATTTCCAATAATCACAATAATTGCACATGACCCAGCAACATATGCTTGTAGCCCAGAAAGCCAGCTATATCACGGGCTGCATCAAAAGCAGCATGGCCAGCAGTTCAAGGGAGGTGATTCTGCCCTTTTACTCAGCTCTGGTAACTGTCCACATGGAGTACTCTGTCCAGCTCTGGGAATGTGAACCTGTTGGAGAACGTTCCAGAGAATGTTCAGAGGGCTGGAGCACCTCTGCTGTGAAGTCAGACTGAGACAGTTGGGGTTGTTCAGCCTGGAGAAAAGAAGACTCTGGGAAGTCCTTATTGTAGTCTTTCAGTACTTAAAGGGGGCTTACATGAAAAACGTTTTAGTAAGGCCTGTAGTGATAGGACAAGGGGTAACAGTTCTAAACTGCAAGAGAGTAGATTTAGATTGGATGTAAGGAAGGCATACTCTATGATGAGTCTCTGGAACAGGTTGCCCAGAGAAGTTGTGGATGCCCAATTATTGGAAGTGTTCAAGTTCAGGTTGGATGAGCCTTTGAGCAACCTGAACTAGTGAAATACATCCCTGCCCATTGTAGGGACACTGGGTTAGTGGTCCAAAGCTCTTCACTGGCACTTCATGCAGCATTCAGCTTGCAAGCCTTTTAACAAAGAAAACAAAGTAATCAATAAATAATAGGTGATGGACTAAGAGGTGATGTTGGCACCTATGGGAGGTGCAGCCAGTAAGTCAGAAATGAAGCCAAATATGCACATAGGTTTCTTTCAATGCAATGAAACTTTGCAATGAGAAAGTGTGCAATTCTGTTTGCTGGAAGGACGTGCCCAAAAGCAGTACTCTTGTTTTGATCCTGGAGACTGCAACCAGATATCTTTCCAGCAGAGATGTTTCCTCTGCGAGTGGAATACTACTACTTCATCAAGCAGAGACCCCCACTCATGAGGTTTTCCAGTTCTCCTTTTACACCGAGTCCACCTGGTCAGCTCAAACTAGTTTTATTTCTGGTTTAAATATCCTGGATAATTTCTCACCAGGCAAAGGCAAAGAGTTCACATGCTTCATTCTGTAGTAACCTCTAGCAGAAAAGCAGGAACAGGCACCTAGGGTATTGGGGTGACCTCTCAGGAATTTTCTAACTATTTGCAAAGAAATGAGCTTTAAGATTGTTCTAGGCAGTAGGTAACTTTGCAGAGTTGGTACATCTTTACTCCTCTGTTCTGATAATGTGCTTTCAGAGTCATATCCTCTTCGTAAGAGAGGTAAGTCTTGCATGTGGTGCCTCTCACTGGATCAGCTGATCTGGTTGGGGAAAACAGAACAGGTACTTCTGTGTTCAAAGGCTGTGCTAGAACCATATGAGCAAGGAAGGTCTGATAAAAAAAATCTGAATCTCAACATGCTTTAAGTGTAGAAACATTTAGACTTGAGGTTCAAGCTTTTGTTTGGCAGTCAAACGAAATACAGAAACCGCTAATAGGCATTCATTTCAAAGATCACCTTTCAAGCATCCTTTAGTAATACCTGGAATTCCTGAAGTATCTCTGCAAACACAGATAGTGGTAATACTTTCTGATTTTGAGTGGGTAGTTTTCTCAGGAAATCTGATCTGTCTTCGGAAATAGCTTTAATCTTAACAGCCTTCCTTTGTCTCTAGACTTCTCACATTGTCTCACCTAGCTGTTATGAAGAGCTCTTCACAGCCTCGGACTTGATGATCTTGGAGGTCTTTTCCAACCCGGCTGATTCTATGATTCTATGATTCATTAGATGCAAGCTGTAGTTTTCACTGACACTATGGAGCATGTTTTGGGAGACCACTGTAGCTATATTATTAAACACCGCTTAGATCCTGCAGTTACAGTATACATGGAAAGGAATGAGGAGAAGACATGAGGACTTCTGCAAGGGGGTTTGTCCCCATCACCTGCAAGGACCTTCTTTCCAGGCTAATTTTTCAAATAAAAATCTTTCCAAACAGGATCCTGAGTACTTGCAGATCTCCAGTCTTCTTCACCTGGGAATGGCAAGGGCTGGATAGTCAGTTGAGAAAGTGGCAGAAGGGGCTAACCCCTGCCCCAGCCCTTGGGTTGGCTTGCCACAGCCCAGAAGAGATGAGGACTCTCCTCTATGCATTGTATTGCTGCAAGCTGGACCCTTAGGGGTCCTTGCATTGCTCCTTCTCCATGCTGCTGATGGTGATGGAGGAGCTTGCCTTGTCAGGGACTTTCCTGCAATGGGAAAGCCCCAGGTCCTTTTCTCAGCCTCATAGCACTGGAGAAAAACAAATTTAAAGGGGAGAGTTCTGGCCTGACTGGAAATCTAGGATAAGAATCTCCCAGGGTGAAATTAGCATTGAAGACATTAAAAGAGAGGAAGATTACTCTTAGAAACCATGCTCTAGTGTATGTGACTAGATGGAGAGGAAAGTCTGCTTCCTCCTGAGGAAGTGGAAAAGGGGACGGGAGGGGTGGGCATTGCTTCAGCCCTTCTTTTCTTTGGCCTCAAGAGTTCCCAGATGATCCTGTCCCCTGTCCTGCCATGTGCCGCTTGTTTGAAGAAAGCCTTGCTAGAGCCAGGAGGCATCTAGCACAGGGGAGCACTGGGGCTGTCCTCACCGCTGCAGTCGTGGGCTGGCCCTGGAGGAGCCCTTGCATGCCTGACAGAGAGTTTGGAGTGGGGACTTGCCCGCCACCCCTACTTTCCTCCCCTCCTTGCACATACTAACCTGCACCAGGCTTAATGGCCACCGGATTGACGGCTGGTAACTCCAAGTTGGGAACCAGCTCGTATCCTTTGTCTTGCTGTTTTCCTTTGCCTTCATGGTACCTGCTGTAGATTCCACGGCCAGCGGAGTATCCCCCCAGGTAGGAACCCCTGGGGCCTGGGGTTCTGTTGCCAGCTGCACCTCGCCCTCTGCCTCGTATGCTGCCTGCTTATGATAACAACATAGAAGAGGATGGTGAATAACAGAGAGCAACAGCCCCATGGGGAGCCCGATTGACCCCAGGCTGAGATCCAGAGGCACATGCTTAGAGATGTGGCTGTTGAAGTTAGCATGATCTGAATCCTAGTGAGCCTGCTAGGAAAACAGAAGTGCCTTAGAAGGATCCAGTAAGCCTACACTCATTTTGCTTTTGATGTTTCTGAGCATTTATACTGGTGCTCATTTATACTGTGCAACTCTTGTGGCAAGTGTTAAGGGTTCAATGCACTCAGCAGAGAGGATCCTCAAAGTGATTTCTGTGCATTAGGAACAGCTTCTGCTTTCAGTTGTCCTCCAGAGGAGACCCAATCTTTCAACTGGCCACAATGGGACCCTGTGGAGATGGTACCTGGACCCTCTCCTGGCCTTTAACCAACTTTGTCCCACCTCTGCACATATTTTTACTAGTGTTGTTCGTTTTCTCTCTATTTTATTAGAAATGTGAACATACCCCATCTCCAAAAATACTGCTTTTATTTATCTTGTTAACTCTACAAGTGTTACGACAGTACTTTGAACACTGCAGTATTAATGCACTCAATGACGGTCTAATTGAATATTTAGGCTATCAGTCAACTCCTTCATAGTGCATGGCAAGTACAAACTGAGGAGAAGCTGAAATTCTTGATAGACTAGGGTTACAAATACTTCTTGGTTTACATAAGTACCTAAGAATATATTCACGCTAAACTGCCTGCTATATGGAAATACACATCAAATTTCAGGAAACTCTAACTCCTGGAAGTACAGCGTAATTGTAATTATAGCAGCCGTTAGGGTTCTTTATGAATAACAGATTTTTGGTTAATTTTTAATGACTGTAACTGATAACTAATGAAACTATACACAATAAAATAATTATTTTGCACTCACATGATTCCTTTTGCTTGTAGCTCTCAAATTACTTTATAAAGGACACAGCATGACTGTCATTTTAATGTAGTGGGTAAACGATACCTAGAGAGCTCCTAGCTAAGGCTTTCTCTGACATCCCTCCCTTTGGATGACCAGGTCATAATACCCACACTTCCAGAGCACTCTGTCATGACTGCTAAAACCTAGGATCCAGCTTCCTTCTTTGGAAGGAGACATCAGAAGCTGGAATCCTTAGACCTACTCAGAGTTAGTACAGCACTCATAACACCCAGATCTCTCTCTTCCCCATCCCATGCTTGGTCCATTATCTCATTCTTAACCATATTTTTGATGCCTCCCTTCTACTAGCCTGTATGTTACCAATTATTTATAGATAACTACAATTTGTATAGTCACAAATTACAGTGAGACCAAACAGAAATATGGCAAAAATACCTATAAAAGAGTATTTAAATAAAAATTGCATAGCACCATCTGTCTTTTGGCTCGGGCAGACCTTGGGTTGCATCAGCCTGAGATCAAACCTGCCCATCATATCCCCTAATTGTGCTTACTAACCTTTCACAAAGTAATCTCTGTTGGGCCCAATCAAGGCATTGTATGGATATCCGTAATATGCTAGTGTGTATGGATCACAAGAGTAAACATAATTAGGTTGCTGAGTTACTTCGGACGTTGCTGCAGCCCCTCCTTTTGCTGCTTTCTGGTAGCGAGTGTATTGCTCCTTGTCTACTGGCTTGGCCAAGGTAACTTCCAGGCACGAGCCTTCCAGTTCAATACCGTTAAGGTTGTTCATGGCATGAATGGCATCTTCCCTGGTTGTGAAGTGCACAAAGGCGTAATCACGTATTTTTTTCACTCTCTCTACACAGCCAGGGTTAAACTGACCAAAGACCTTTTTAATGGTGTCCTCTGTGGTCTCAATCATTAAATTCCTTACATAGAGAATTTTAACAGTCTCCATGACATCTTCATCCACATCTATCTCTGGTTCTGCCCAGTCAACAGCAATCTGATGTCCCCATAGCTGGATCCTTCCCGGCATGAGTTTTCTCCTGGCCATTGCTGCTGCTCGATGGCTCTCATACTCCACAAAGGCGAAACCTCTGTTTTTCATCTTGTCTGCAGCGCTGGCGTACACAATGACATCCAGCACACCTTCTGTCACCTTGGAGATCTCTTCCAGGATCTCTTCTCTCTTCTTCATCTTGGGAATGCCTCCAATGAAGAGCCGGCAGTTATCCACGCTGCAGCACACACCCAGCAGCCTGCCGGGGCGGATTTCATAGTTATTCAGCTCCCTGACTGCACGCTTTGCCTCGTGCTTCTGTGTGTACATCACGAAGGCGTACCCGCGGTTCTTCCCGTCAAAGTCCATCATCAAGCGCATTTCGTAGATGCGGCCAACAGACTCGAACACGGGGACCAGCTCATCTTCATAGACATCACGGGGGATTTTGCCCACGAAGACTTCACAGCCGCGAGGAGGGTGCAGGCCATCCCAGCCTGGAGGAGGGCCACCGTACTTGCGTTGCCCATTCTCCTGGATCATGCTATATCCAGTGCGGGCCATGAGCGCCAGCAGAGCTGCCTCATTGGGCGCACCAGCAACGCCTTCAGGGACTTTTGTGGTAGACACATTGGTGGAATCATTGCTCATCCTTGCAGTGGAGTCCTCAGCGGTCATGGTGTCAAACTCATTCACAGCCTGATAAAACCTGGGCAAAGGAAGAAGGAGGACACTTGTTAAAATCTGTTAGCTACCACCAGAATTCCACCTCTCTGTTTTGTTTTCCTATAGTTCTACAAGTTTGTTTTTCAAACTGTGACGAAGGCTGCAGAAAAGAAGAGGAACTAGCAACACCAGCCTGAGGAGTGATACTGCAGAAGGAGTGTATCCTGGACATAGGCACAGCCCCTCTTTGAGGAAGGTGGTTGAGGATCACCTTCCTGTACCTCCCTGGCATCAAGAGCTGCTGCCACAGGATGCCAAAGTCATTCCTCAGTTAATATGCCAGGTGGCATATTCCATGGTGAAAGACGGCAAATGCATGAGAAGCACGTTTCCATAGGATAACAGCCCTTTGCTCCTCTAGACCTTCGCAGTAACTGTTGAGTACAGTTGAGTACATTTCACACATTACATTACATATTAGCCTCAGGGGAGGACAATTCTTGTTGTCTTGTGCAAAGGGTGATCTGACAAGCTTCTGAGTCGCCTGCTGCTTGTGTTACAATGTGACATGTTTGTCTTCCATTATTACAGTAGGACTTCACAAAAGCTGAAGAGAATCACTCCCTTAAGACAGGCAACTTGTTTTAGACCAAGCAGCCAGCAGAGACCTGCAAGCTGAGCCAGCAAGAGGAAGGCAAATCTCAGAAACCCGATTCTGAGCATTTGAACACAGCCGAAGAGCAAGAAATGCAGATATACAGGAGGAGATGATCATGCTATTGACCTTAGCTGCAAGGCAGTGGGCTTCCTCTCTGAGCACAACTAAATAACACACTCTGGGACTCTGAGAGTTGTTAATTCATTGATGTTTAAAGCTGGAAAAGTCCACCAGACTATTTAATATGAGTGATTATATATGACATGGACCATTACATTTTATGGTTATTTGCACACTGAGTCTTATAATATTTATCTGAGTAAATCATATCTTCCAAAGGGACCTTGGCTTTAAGGAATCAAAGAGCTGTAGATTCCTCTCCTCCTTATATGACATGTTTGCTAATCACGCCATCAGACAAGCAAGTATGCTGTATTTCTCATGGGAATTTGTCTGGCTTTGCTTCCAGATAGGATTACTTGTTAAACCTGATAAAGAGTCTTTCAAGACTTCAGCTTTTGTCTTATAGTGATATTTAAGTTGTGCAATGAAGCCACAACTCTATGTTTTTAATAAAACTTGCAGACTGAACTCTTCACCATTAGTCTTTTTTCACCTAAAATTGCTTGTGGGTCTTTGGGCAGTTCTCTAGGGTTTCAGCTTTTTTTACCTTTCCTATATACAGGGATGAAGAACATTGCTACTTCTTCCCACATCTCAGTATTGCCAAGGCTTGTTTCTTCACACCTACTAACAAACCACATGGAGTTCTTTTTTTTTCCCCCTTCAATTTTAGCCTCAAATCCTTTATAGAAGCACCACTTGCTGGTGTTATGTCCCATGTAGCAGGCATGTCTTGTGTTTATTACTCTTAAATGCCACAGCCTTGCATTCAGGTCTATCCCTTTTGAGTAGATCCCACATACTGAGTACTACATGATTGGCTCCCCCTAGTTGTTTTTTACAACTCTATCAGCCTTTGCTTCATCCACTGATTTATTTGTCATGTTTTGCCTTCATGACCGATTTGTGGATGGAACTGTCAAAATACACTGATCCTTGTAGGAAACTCTGCAAACCACCATAATAAATGCTCCCCATCTGGGTTTGACAGGTTTATTTTCCAAAAAAAAAAAAAGGCCAAAGCTTTGGCCAGATTTATTTATTCTATGTAGTTCTGTTATTCAGTGGGACACAGGTTTCTCTCTGTCCCACAGGGACTCAGATATATATACCCTTCATTAGAACGATTTGGCCATTGCATTGGTTACCATGCAGGCAGGTCCTTCACTAGTACAGCAAGCCCAAGTCCATAGAAATATGGCACAAGATTTAGGCACTTAGGTCTGATTTGTATGGTCAAAAAATCCATTTAAATCCTAGTCAGCTCAGCACCTCAGATTTTTTTTCAGTAAAGCTCTTGAGCTGCCCAGAATTGTGCTGGTCTGTACCCAGAGATGCCTCTGCACCAGCCAGGGCAAGCACCACTGTATTTAGTTCAGCTCCTAGATGCATTTGGGATTGGGAAACCAGACCTCTGAACCATGGTCTGTGGTAGGACTTCATTCTGCATGTGTTTTTGGACCATGAGTGTTACACACTGATGCTTCACAGCCATTTTAATTTAAAAATATGAAGAGCAGAGGGAAAGATAAAGAAGATGGAGGGCAGTAATACTGATGCTGATACTCAGCAATACTTTAGAAAACATAATTCCTTTGAAGTAAGGTCTTTCATGGAATTGCCTCAGTTTTGATAGCTTCTTACTTTAAAATGTTGTTGATTAACATATTTCTCTCAGATTCAAATGTTCCCCTGTAACAGTCAGACATTTCAATTTTATTCCTGGGAATTATTTGCCATAATTAAGAAAATTAAGGCAGAGTAAAACAGTTTCATTTGCCATTTGACAATTTGTTACTAAAAATGTATCTTTGCCTTTCCCAGAATGAAAGCAAAGCTTGTTATACAAACACTTTATGGGGAAATAATCATTACCTTTACATGAGCCACCTGTTGGCAAGTGAAGTACTTATCACCCCAACTTTGTCTAAGTTTAGAAATGAGTAATTGCTATCAGTTTTGGGTCAACTTACAAAATAAAAGTCTCTGTATTCTGTTATCTGCAGGGCTTGGTTGCTGAGGTAGAAGTCTAGAAAGCTACAGGTGAGCAGTGGGATTGCGGAGTGAGGAGAGATGAAGCAAAGCCTCTCCTGATCACCAGAAACCTGCTGGTAATTCAGTGGCCATGCAGGAACTGGCATGTTCTCCAGCACTTTGCATCACACCAGCAGGATGATTTCTAGTACTGGAAGCTGTTCTTGAAGCTACTCCTAAGTGCTGATGGCCACCTTTGCTGCAGACACTATCATACACTGTTTGTGATAGTGCATAACTAAAAATTCCTAGTGAACCTAAAATGCATTTATTCCTGTCTAATTTACTAGGAATCAAGATTTATGACCAAATGTGGTTTGGATTTTTTTTCCTGTGCAGCTCCGTAGAGCTGGGTTTCATAAGTAAGTACTGCCTAAGAAAGTTAGCCCATGTAGCCCCAATTGATTTAACTAAATACACACAACAACTTATTCATTGCCACATGTCACAATCAACACCTTCACAGAGTTCAGATTTTATATACCCTGAGATTAGCTCAATTGGTTAAAACTTGGTGCTAATAATGCCAAGGTCAGTGGTATTAATGCTAATAATGCCGATGGTACAGGTCATTGACTTAAGAGTTGGACTCGATGACCCTTATGGGTCCCTTCCAACTCAGAATATTCTGTAATTCTACCTTGATGAGAAAAAGAACACAAGCTTGTCTGGTCTGAGAGCTCTCCTCTCCTGTTATTACTGCCTTACAAAATGGGCTACCAATACAACCTAACCTTTTCATGTTGAAAAGCAATCCCTCTCAAGAAAATGGTTTCCAAAAATACCATTTTCTGAAGTGTTCAACCCTACTTGTGCATTTTTTTTAGTCCACGGTAAACTGGTTGTGAAAACTTGCTATTATATATTGTGGGTGTGTGCAAGACATGAGCTAATACTATGGGCCTAGTGGCCTTAGTAAAGCTAAACTGATTTCAGTACATCCACTGTGTGTGATGAATGCTACTAGAGGCAAAAATTTAAGCTACATTAAAATGTAGTGTCTTACTTGATTTTTAGTCTCTGAGAAAGAAGGTATACCTGATCTTGATGACATAGATTCATAAAAGAGAGACAGACAAAAATATTGCTAATGAGAAAGGTTGTGTTTTGGAGACAACTAACTAGACAATGACTCATTATCAGGACCTGAAACAAGACTGTCTTCTTTTCTTCTCAGAAAAAGGTAAATCCTGCTTGACTGTTCAACACCATGTTAGATGAATGTTAACGACTGCCAGCCTACCAGGAGCCAGGCTTAGGAGCCCCTTGGTTCAGCATCTCTGCTCCAAGGACTGTTCCTTGAACAGGTGAACTATCAGACATAGAGGTTTCACTGAAACCATTCAAATTTCATTTTCCCTTGCTTACAAAACTCCTTCCCTGCTGCCAATAGGACAGGTGTAAATAGTTCTTGCCCTAAACATTAATTACCTTCTTGTTAACCTATATTTTTCACATATAGGTTATTATATTATATGGGAAACTTACCGTGTTGGCAGTGACTGACCTAAAGCATACCATGAGCGGGCTAATTAACTGAGGTAGATCTTTTATTAAATAGAAATACCACACCTTGATTAACAACAACAAAGAGCCCAATGCTGATGTCCCTTTTGCCAGGGCAAAGGCAGCTTGGGGCCCCAGTGAGAAAGCAATGCCCTAACTCCATATATCAACTAATCCTTGGGCTAGTCCAGATCTGGGCAGTGCCCTGTGAAGTTAGGCAGCCACGTGCTCCTCTGTTGATCCTGGTGTGGTCAGATAGGTTTTTACAAACACAGGGACACAGCAGTGTCCTCGGGGCAGTAACTGTGTGTCCACTTCACTCACGTGCTCCTATAAAATGAGGCTCTTTATGTTTGGACTTAATTCATCCCTCCAGTTTTGTACTGCATAGTACATCATGTGTCCTTTTGTGGGTGACACAACCTCCAGCAGTCACATAGCCTGGGGATAGGTGCCAGCACCATGGGAGGCAGCAGGAGGGACCAGGGAGACCTGTGTTTCTGTGAAAACTGTCAGGGGGAGGGGATGGGGGTACCCATCCCCCCCTTGCAAACCATGTACCGAACAAACTCTGGCTGAGCTGACAGGGTGTGTCTTCATGGACAGTGCACAGCCACCCGCTTCCTTCAAGAAACTGCCACAGTTTTGTATTTTAAACCACAGCTGCTGCAGAGGGAAGGTTGGTTGCTGAAATTTTAAATACACTTTGTTGGCAGAGGGAA